CATTGAGCTTCTCGTCAACATCCCCAAGTCCTTCTCCTCAGGACTGCTCTTAATTCATTCTCTGCCCAGCCTACAATTGTGCTTGGGATTGCTCTGACTCATGTGCAGGACCTTGTGCTTAGCCTCATTGAATTTCATTAGCTTGGCATAGGCCCACCTCTGAAGCCTGCCCAGGTCCCTCTGGATGCCATCTCTTACCTCTAGAGTGTTGACCACACAGCTTGGGGCCATCAGCGAACTTCCTGAGGGTGCACTCAATCCCAATGTCCATGTCACCAACAAAGATGTTAAACAGTACTGGTCCAAGTACCAAACCCTGAGGAATGCCGCTCATCACTGGTTGCCACTTAGACATCAAGCTGTTGATGGCAATTCTTTGAGTGCAGCTATCCAACCAATTCTTCATCCATCAAGTGGTCTACCTGTTAAACCCATGTTTCTCCAATTTAGAGACAAGGATGTCATGCAAGACAGTGTCAAATGCTTTGCACAAGTCCAGGTAGATGATGTCAGTTGCTCTTCCCTTATGCACCAATCCTGTAACACTGTCACAGAAGGTCACCAAATTTGTCAGGCACAATTTTCCCTTAGTGAGGCCATATTGGTTATGACCAGTCACCTCCTTATTTTTCATGTGCCTTTGCAGAGATTCCAGGAGGATCTGCTCCATGATCTTGCTGGGCACAGAGGTATTTTTACACAGATATCAGTTAAACAAGAAAATTAGTAGTTTCATGTCTAAGGGAGTCTCATGCAGGGTGAAGGAGGGGCAGGGTTCAGTATAACTTTTAGCTTGGACCTTGTGTTTAAGTCTTTAACCTCTTACTGTCAGTGAGTACCTGTTGGAATTTACTGTACTGTAGCAAAGGTTACAAATTTCTGTATATCAAATTCGTATTTATTGTGAGAAGCCCATCCTCTTCACTTTCTGTAATTTTATTTCGTCCTAAACATAAGATTTTAGGCAGAAAGGGACCAGAACTCTACTTAGCCCCCACAGCACACCTTTGGGATTATTCCAGACAGAGGTGCCTGTCAATGCCTGCCAGCACAGTCTTCCAAGGCTCTTCTTCATGTTTCTTGCAGCATTTGTAAACATTAGTGGTATGTATGTTGATATATTAGCAGATGTTATTCTAGAGCAGAATTAGGGTCTTAAATTAAGCTGACCTGACCTTATGTGAAACTGCAGAGAAACAACAGTTTCTACCATCCTGTAAATAGGTATTCAGAAGCATACTTAAAAGCATATTGCCAAAATTATTTTTTTAGAAGATTTTCAAAGGAATACCTTTTTTTCTCACTTCTTGATTTAAATAGATTATTGAAATGCTAATGTGGTAAAGAGCTAAGATTTTATTATACCTAATGTTACAGTAATTTGGCCAATTCAGGAACTAAATTAATCTTTTGATAAAAATTCAAACATACAAATTGAGTTACCACTAAGATATACCAGAATTCTGTAAAAAAGCTACATGAGCTTTATACAATCCACAGAAAATGACAAGGGTCAATTTAAGAAGAAATTCTGTTGCTAGGAGACGAGAACTGCAAGAAACCCCAATAATGTTTCCTCATTTTAAATAGTAACTGGATTAAGAAATAGTAACCATAGATTAACAAGAAAATAAACCCAAGAAGGTCAATGAGTGGTTTTGTGTGAATTTATCGAAAATTCAATGTAAATGTAAAACATTTAGATAAAACTCGCTTTTATGCTTACTGCAACTGCATATATAAGTAAATACAGAGTAGACAGCAGATCATCCCTATATATTGAATCTATGTTTTGTTCTATATTATACCTGGCATTAATATTTGCAAAACTATCATGGAAATGCAAGTGCATCTGGTACACTAAATTTATTACAGTTTCATATATAATATAATAGAAATTAGAAATTATCATTGACCATTATAAACTTAGAAAGCTAGATCTCAATTTTAACTACAGAAGGTAGGGATTAATCAAAAAAGTTAATCGTCTACAAAATATTCAACATTTCACAACAAATCAAAAAGACAACTGTAAAGAGAAAAGAATAGGTAATGCTAAGTTGCTAAGAGAAATGTTATTGCCTCATGCCTTGTTATCATTTTGCTCCCATCTCATTTAGTTTAAAACCATCTAAAATGCTTCCAAAAAAATATTATATTTTTAAATACAAATTTCTACTCAATCTCTTTTTTCAGTCTCTAAAATTTGTCTTTGCCTTTGAAGCGTATCTCAGCTTAACGTTAGTATCTTCTCTATTGAATTAATCGGTCCAAATCTCCCTTCTCCATAGTAGCTTTTAGCTCTTCATTCTTCCATTTTAATTCTAACACTTGTTTTTGCTACTTCGGTTTCCAAGTGACAAGCAGGGAGAGTTCTCCTAAACGCAACACTGCAAAACACCGGTCCATGATCTAAAACCTTTGATTCTGTCTATGGAAAATTTTTAACAGTAAATGGAGAAAAGTATGTCACAGAAGAAATACTTATTATATTCTAGATATTATTGTGGCTCTTTTCTGACATCTATTTTGTGCAAATATTTATGCTTAGATTTCTTATAGTAATGATATAGACATTTTTTTAAAAAGGTTGGAAGAGACCTCAGGAAGTCATCTAGTCCAACCTTTCTCTCTTAGGGAGTCAGCTGCAACAGATTGAATGAGGGTCTTGTCCACTATTGGAAATACTTGCTTTTGTAAGTGAAATTCAGAATTTTTGTCCTGTGGGAAATTCCAACGTTTGTTTTTTTCCCAAACTTTATTTTTACTCTTTCTATACAGAATAAAAAATTTATATTAAAGGTAAGTTTTAAACATCTGCTTTAATGTATTCCCTAAATTAGTAACAGTGGAAGGATACAAACACAGAGAAGTTTGTCTCAGGGGGTCCTTTGTGAGAGTGCCTGCAATGTTTGGAATACAGAAGCACCAAGAGTCTCAGCCCCAAGAACTGCAATCGGGGCTTCAGAAATAACAAAACTGTTGGGCAGATTTCTTGTGTTGAATATCGCTTTGGACCAAGTCCAGGCATTTGTACTATTGCTGTTGTATATAAGGTAATCATATAAATATATATTTTAATATATATGTGTAAATTTATTATTTATAATATATAATATAGCTATATATAATATATATTATACAATATATTATGTATAGTATTATATATTATTATTTTTAAATATTAATATATAAATAATAGTAAGTTATTATATATTGTTATATATTTAATATATTTTTCTTTGAGAATATTTAAGGAACATTTGAAAATAGTTAGGAATAAAAATAACTGATCATTCCAATGCTCAGACCTGGCTTACTGCACACTACAATAATGCTATCTATTGTTTTGTTAAGTTCCTTAAATTATGTTTATGCATGATAATTTTTGTCTGTGTGCTTGTCCATCATTCTATTGTATATCTGACTTTTGTAACTCATCTGTATGTGTTGAGTCATAATACAGTAACAAACTAAACACAGGGGAACCTTTGTTGGAACTCGGTCCATACAAAACCTTTTTGTGGCATGTTGTCACAGTTTATAAGTAGACACAAGTTTATACAAAGCATTTTGTCTATGCAAAAATTAAATCTGTATTAATCACTACTCCAATAACATTTTACTCCTATATACTCATATCATTATATAATTTCATATAGCCAGGCCTTTTGAGATGCTTTTTTACTGTTAGTCATGAATCCCTTTGTACTGCAAAATGTTACTATGTTCATGAAGTAAATGACATGCTAGTTTTATCAGACCTCTAATTCCTGTTGTAGCCATTTTACAGGCACTGTAGGTCTCGCATATTCTTCTCTATAATTTTTTCTTTTCATTTTAAGACACCCTGTAATTTAGTATTCCTCACCCATGCCAAACTCATTTAAGGGAGAGCAGTCCCTTCCTCCTCTTCCCCTCTGAACTCCTGGTAATGAAATGCTATTTCAATTGATAAAAAGTTGTCTAGTCTTCAGAAGAAGCTGAAAAAAATTAAGGGATTTTCAGAACAAAGTTTAGGACAGGAAGATTATTCCATGGAGACGTATCTTCAGCAACAAAGCTGCAAGCATCCTATGTTTTCCAATAACTTCACGCCTCTGACACCATGTCATTACTGGAACATAACACCAAGGCACTCTGACTGATATCAGATGTTTCTTACAATTATACAGCTGAATGAACAGCACATCAGAGCTTAAACCCAACTTAGTAATGGACATGAAATGAATTGAAACTACCAAAAGAGTCTGAGATTACCAGGAAGATGAGATGTAGGTGCCCTTGAAATATAGACCAGCATCTATTGGAGCATACTGGCTTTTATGACTCTGTCAAACTGCTACTGGTGTAGAGATAAAGGTGTCTCTTCCTCACTTCCTTGCCTGATATCATTCTGCTAACTATGGCTGATCTTCTAGCTGTCTGAAATTTTACCCAGGCTTACACATACTTTTTAGTTTTGCTTATTACTATCAAAATGTACTCAGTCTTCTCTAACATTTTCCCATTTCATGGTATTTTTACTCTTGTTAGAATAATTTCTGATGTTTAGAGATGCTCATAATTCTCTGATACCACATCTGTTGGAATCCATTCTCCCTGTAGAGCTACCCAGAACTTATAATGGTACTTACTATTTTTTAAATTTCACTTTCCAAGCATCCACAATATGCATATCAGTGGTTTCATCAGCGTGGAGAGCACAGAAAAGTCCAGCTTTCTTTTGTACCTGGTAAAGGTAGAAACACAGTTTCCAACTTATTTCTCCAGATTTAGCAAAGAAAGTGTCTTGAAAAAAATATTTTTCACAACACAATATTAGTTTGTGGGGCTAAGGGTGTTAGACAGTAGCATGCATGCACGTCATGGTCCTAACTCTGTGATCAGAGGTGGATTTTTTTTTTTTTAATTGTAAATTTTCCAATAATCAGTACTTAATTTTTTTTCCAGAATTATTCAGAGTTGTATCAATTGAACACTGCATCACACAGCTCAAGGTGTATGGAAGGGAAGATTCAGTCCCAGGACTTATTCAAATTTAAGAGTTTGGGATGAAATATTTGAATCGAACAAGAGAAGACTTTGCCTCGGGTCTTCTACTTTCGTGAAGAATATTTTGTCAATTGGTTTATCAGGTATTCAGTAACAACTGCTACTGGAGTGTTTTATTTTCCTCTGGGGAAACCTGTAAGAGTCTCTGGCCTGTCCTTGTATTAGAGAGCATTTTGAAGAGGAGAGGTGAGAGGAGATATTTGGTGCAGTGGTGAGTTGAGGGAATTTCTTGCTTGTATTTCAGCTTGAGAAGGCTCCAAATTTATCTCAGGATCCAGAGCCTAGAAAAGGAGAGGCAAAAGTGTGATAGGAGGAGATGAAAGGCAGTGGACAGCCACTTATGCACCTTCTGCTGCAATCTGTGCAAGGTGCAATGAGTGTCTTGCTGTGCTACACCTAGCTGTAAGGTGCACAATTAGAGGTTCTATTTAAACACACCGTGAAGGTGAAATCCTCCTTCCCCTTCAACCAGTCGAACAGAAAGATTGTTGATTTTTCTGTTTGTTTAAAACTCCATTTTACTTCTAAAACAGAGGATGTGATAAGGTAAATTGTTGTCTCACAAACTAAACCAGACTATATCAATAACTTTTGCAATTTGCTCCTTTTCTGAATACTGAGATTTACTTTCTACCTTCAATGTAGATACACAGATTGATCAGGACCAAGGTAGTAGTATTTCCCCTTAGGCAAGCTCTACTACAGAGGTTGTGGATACTTCTCACTTCTCTGATCTTGCCACTGCTTCCTGCAAAGATGGCTTCTATTAATATTTATGTCCTGTCCAGTGAGAAAATTTGTTTTTTAGGAAAGATGGTTGTGGTGAATAATCATTATTCATCTGCACAGTAATTCACATCCCTTGTCTCTGAAGTTCAAGTGAAGAATTGAAGGTTGAGCAGCAGAGGTAGTGTTAGCCTGAGGGAGTTTATTGACTTAAAAGATATAGACAGTTCCCATTTAAAGGGGAACTTATCCCCACAAAATCTAATTTTACTAATACATCTGTGGTTGGATCACATGTGTTTGGTCAGTTTGCATTTATAGGCTTCTTCTGACAACCTCAGGTGAATCCCAAGGTGAGAAAACCATCGGCTATGTGTGTAAAAAAAGCTCCGAAACAAATGATTAATTTACACAACAGTTTATTTTGTTTTGGTTTTACCTCTTAAAATAAGCATTTTGTTTCTCTTGTTGACTGCTGCACCTGATGTATTTTCTGCATCGTTTAGTTGAGAAGGGCTCTTGATTGTCTGTATACCATGTGGTTAAGTTGTAGATGCTTTTGTTTATCAGCAGCACAATAGATTAAGAGAACAGTATTTACTTAGTCACACGTTTTATGGTTATAGGAGTATGAACAGCAATACTATTTACACTTAAAGCAAATAAACAGAAGAATTTGACTGAAAACTGGCATTTTGAGAAATCCTCCATTTATAAAAGTTGCTGACATAATGCACTATCGTCTTCCTATAGATTGTGATGGTGTGTCAGGAGCTAAAATCTCCAGAAAGCCACTCATGAGGATGAAACAAAACAAAATACTATTTGCAAGTAAGCCTTCTTAAATCTGTTCTGTATTTTGAGAAAGTTTAATCTATAGGATTTTGAAAATGCAATTCCTGCTGATTAATGCAACTGGTAGGTAAGCCAAGTCAAGCTTTGTATGAACATAAATTTAAAGGCAGATGAGATAAAGAAGATAAATCAAATGCTGCTTTACACGGTCAGGATAGTCAATGAAACTGAAACACAACACAATTCAAATTGGAAAAAAGATCCATTTTGCAAAACATTTAATTAGTCTGTCAAATTTGCTGCTGTGAGAGAAAGTTAATTACAGAAGCTTAGTGAGATTCACAAGAAAAGGACATTTGCATGAATATGGGAAACATTTATGCTACAGATGATTGAAAGTGCATAACTTTAGCTCTGTCTAAGAAGATAGTGACTTAATGAACACCAGGAAGAAGTTTTCCCCTTCTAGTTCAATTGTTGCCCACTACAGGATTATCGGCACTCTTTTTTTTTTCAAAAGAAAAAAATCAACTGTAAACTACTCTTATCATCTATAGAACTTCAGTATCTTTTAAAAAAATCCTATTTAGCTAAACCTGAATTACTTCACAGCAAAACTCTGTACATAGGGAGAAGAGAAAATTTTCACATAAATTATCAAATTGGGTCTCTTAGAACTACCGTATTTCTATAAACCTGGCTAAAAATAGTGTCTTGCCTTAGAGAAATTGAGTACTTGGAATAAGGTATTAATCTTTTAAAATATTTTAAATTGAACAGCCCTTGTCTCAGTAAGTATATATTTAAACAAGACTCAGAATGGAATCAAAAAGGTCCTTAACTTCTTGAATCTGTCAGTACACTATTAATAAAACAACCCAAAACAAAGCCAAACCCGAGCCCAAACAGATAGCTTTTGCACATGAGAGGGTACCATCTTCTCTCTTCCCCTCCTTTTTGGCTGCTTGTAGAATGGCTGCTTTTCTTTGCCATTCTACAGTAGAGAGTAAGACCATCTGTCACTTGCAAAACCTCTGATACCCAGAGGTTTTCAATCCATTTTATTCCTCAACTGAAAGATACTTCTTGAAAAAATAAATGCTTGTGTATCATCCTGAGAAGACTGCTTTCTAATGAATATCTAATCCAGCTCCTGGATTTTAATTAGTTATTGAAATCTCATGAAAAAATGGAGTAAACCAAAACAGCAAGGAAATTTCTGTTATTGTGCTAAAATTCAAAGTATTCAGTTTATGATGAGCAATAAACAGACCAAGAATGAAAAAAGTGTAGCCTACAAGTGTATTTGCAGGTTTTCCTCTACCAGAGGTAATGCTTTCAGAGCACTCAACTATGAACTGGAGGTAAAGAGGTATTGTTCATGAGCTACAAATTATATTGGTTAATTTTAGGGATATTTTTGGCTAATATAGGTAGAGTTATGTCTTCCAGAGTCATGATTTACTATTGTACTAATTTCTGGCTATGCTTTCTAAGCGGAAAGAAAATTGGCTTTGAATGAGGAAAATAAATAAAGGAATTAAAACAATAATGAGAGTTAGAAACTTTTTTTTCTTGTTTTTTAAAAAATGTGTTTATGGAGTTAGAACAAAAAACTTAAATAAACCCCTTCCAGAGGGTTTTTTTTTTCCCTCTCTAAAACTGGGATTGATTCATTAGAGCCTTTTCCAAGATCAAAATCTTTGCACTAACAAACATTTGAAAAATGATTTCTGGAAATAACTCTGCATCTATTAACCCCTCTGGGACAGAATAGAAATGGCCCTGCTTTTAATGAAAATCCACGAATTTAATAAGCTTCTCAGACTTAGAAAAACACGCAGTCATCTTTCAGGTAGTAAAGTCCCTTTTCACACTAACAAAGACGCTCACAATATTTTATTTAAAACAGAGTATCCAAGACTGGACAGGAATCTCATTTTATGCTTTTGCTCTCTTCCTTCTCTCAGGAAAACAAAAAACAGTAGCAATAATTTTATGAGGCTCTACCTTTGAGCAGAACATGAACATCTCTTTCTGCAGTCCCAAGGACACATATGACTAAAATTTCATTTGAATATGAATTTTGATTCTAACTTAAACTGTGGTTTGCTATGGCAGCACAGCAGAGCATTGCTCTAAGCAGCCTGTCTATCTATGTAAAAGCCAAAATTACTGTTGAACAATGCTGTTTTGACCCTTTAAGCAGAATGGTAGGGGGAAGGTCTGTGTAGTTATGGTGAATAAATAGAAGTCACAGGTCTTCAGACAACATGGTGCAGCTGACCTAGTGAATAGAGTTGGAAGACATGCAGCATGATTTTGTATACATGGCTATATGGAAGCATTTGCATATACTTGAATGTTCAGTTTTGTGTAATTCCTATATATTTCACTATTTGCGTTTTGTATAGGATTTTATTTTGGACTTTCAATCAAGGTCAAAAGACTTTTATGTCAATATCACTTTGTTCTTTCTCAATTAATTTTTCAAGTGTTTTAAACCGAAAAAGGTATTGTGGATGATGCAGCATGGGATCTGAAAGTTATAAAATAAAGTAGAAGGCAAGTAGGAAAATAAAATAGAAGGCCTGGAAAAAGTGACTGAATAACCCCTTCTGATTTAGGGGTGTTTTTTGAAACATTGAGGTTTTTATTCTTTTGAACTACTGCTAAGTTACTGAAAAAGATTCAAAGATTGAAGTTAATGGAAAGATTGTCATCCACAGTGGGATAACTCAGATTTGATTCTAATGATGGTATTCTACAGGCAAACTGGTCTGGAAATATAGACCAGTATACATATATACTGTATATGTATATACATATATATACATATACATAGTATACATATTATGTATGGATAGTGCAATACATATATATGTATTGCACTATACAATAGTGCAAATGAGTTCTCTCTGCTAAAATTCTCGTCTGACTTTGACCAAGGACTTCCTCTTACATCTGCAAGGTCTGCAAAAAACCCCTAATTTTTAAAAAAAATCTATGCATACGCAATATCAGCCCTTCTGATCTAGTAATGGAATAGGTAGCCATACAGATTCAATTTTAATGAAATCTCTTTCTTCCTGTATTCCCAGAACGTGTTTGTAAAACATATTCACCATTCAGCTTTCAAAGGCTATTCCGTAAGCAGAGAAACGTGTACTTTATTAGAGTGCCCTTGACTGTAATCCTAAAGCCAAATGGGTAAGCTATTCTCTTCTTTTTTTTTTTTTTTTCAAATTTGTCCTTTATTTGCTGAAACCAATTGCATATTCTATAACTGAAAAGCTAGTTCAATTTTTATGGGTTTAATAAAAACAGCATTTTTTTTCAATACGTATTAAAGAAGAATGTGATTTCTTCAAAACTGCTTAGATTAATTGAAGGAAGCAGATTCCCTGCTAGGGCAGTATGTTGCCAAACACAGAAAGTCAGCCACAGAAAGCTGACTTTGATCTAAAGGGTATGCTATATAAACATCTAGCAGTTCTGGAACTTTTCTTTCCGTGCACTTTAGCTCCAAGTACAGCAATGGGGAAACTACACTGCCAAAGGCATTCTTAGTTTGAGGTGTTTTGTGATATATAGAGCCATGAAGGAGAAAGGACAATGGAGAATACTTTCATAACCATTAAAAGTAAAACCATCCTGAACTTACTAGCCACTGGGTTCAGATAAAGAGCTCACAGTCGTCCCCCAGGTTCAAAAAAGGCAAATGTATGTAGCTGACCCATAGAGATCTGTTTGGCATATCAACTTTGCTTAGAAAATTGGGCAAGCATGTTAATGAAATGAAATGGAATTAATTTCTTGTGACTGAGCTTTACATGTACTCTGAAATAATCTACTTTTCCTTCTGAATTTCACCCTGTACAAGTGCTAAACTTTATCGGTGTTTAAAATAAGGTATTTTCTACAAACTCCTCTTACAAGGAGAATGGAAGAGAGTTTAATGCTGGAGTAATTTTTTACTTTGACTAATGACTGTATATCAGATCTGAGAAGAACAGATGTAACTTGTGTTACATGCTGCAGACTTTACTGCTTTGCTGTGATAACTTTGAAAACTTAACTAAAAAAGGCCATTTCTGTAGGGCAGAGATACTACAAGGTGAAATCAATCTTGCTGCTGATGAAAGGAATTGTATGCCACACTGTTTGCACTTTAAATTATTTAAGAGCGTTAAGGCTTCCTTGCCAGCAGACATAATTGATTTGAGAGCTGGTTGACTAAAGACTAGCAACATGCTATGTAAAATTTGTGATGTATTCTGTGTTGGCAGTTCACCATGCTTCTGGGCTAAAGAAATTGCTTAGAATTGCTTTAATTCATAAATGTATTCCTAGGCAAAGTCATTGTGACAAGAGGCACTGCAGAAATAAAATGGTCACTAGTTTTCCATGAAATACTGGAAATAGGGATTCAGTCTACACAATAGTTTTCATGCTCCCAACCATCCTTCAAACCACTGGCAAAACGTCTCACAGATGTAGCTCCTGGAGCTAGGAAGAAAAGTCAGGCAATCACCAAATGAAACAGAATGAAGCAGCAAATTTCTCTCTGGCTTGTCCCCTCAATCTTGATGACTGGAATGCTCAGCATGCAATAAATTATAAGTCATTTAAATGGTTTCCTGACTGTAAAATAATTTGCCACCTTTCTCGTATACCAGTAGGCTAGATGAAAAAAAGCATGCTAGCACTTGGAAATCTAAAATGGAGAATGAGTTAGTTCTTCAGTCAAAAGAACATCCTAAAGCCTAACTGATCACTCCATCCGTTTGCTAATGAAAGGTTGCCCGTCAGGTACCTGAACCAAATGAAACGGAAACAGAGCCTGAAGACCACGGCTTTCATTACATCTACAGTATCAATCTCTATCCATCTTGCCATCCAAGAAGGCCAAGAACATGTACGTTCTGTGACTTCTCAGTAAATCATTTATATGCTTGCCTATGCTCTTGGAGCTGCTGGTATGTATTGGGCTCATCAAAACCAGCTGGATATATGTTTACCTCAGAGTAAATAATTTACATTAAAATAGTTTAAATCTAGTTTCATATCTTGTGACTGTATGCTCATCAGCTGAACCATACTGTTTAAAGACCTCTGATGTCTATGCAGGAAAAAATCTTTATAGCATTCTTTATAGAGAGGTTTTTCACCAGGTAATCATCTGTTTGGCAGAGTCTAAGTCTATCATTATTGGCCAACACTATGAAGACATTAAACTATCAGTAAAACACCTACTCATAATAAATGTCATGCATTATGTCATGCATTTAGGGAAGAAAACAGAACACTGAGGACACGCAGTGCAGCAGGTCAGGCATATGCATGGGTTCAAGGCTTAATGAAACATAGTGAAGCATGTCATGTCTGAATGGAGACTTCAAATAAATAACTTACTTACTCGTCCATTCTGTCTCATTAAATCTTTCTTCATGTCTTTCCCTTGTGACAATTTTATTACTTCCACCATTTATTGTTTTTATCTGTCAGTCTTTATGATTGTCTTTCATTATTTTGACTGTTCAGCCAGAGCAAAACGCATTGTGGTTTTTTTCTTTAACAATCAGCCAAATCACAGGGTTACTGATGTGACCATCAGGTTTTTGGGTTCCTATTTGTTCTAAGCAAGGTAATTAACAGTGATTTCAAGATAAAACTGTAGCTTTTTTTCATCAATTGAAGGTATGAAGCAGCAATTGAAAAATGAATGGTTGGCTGATAAAACCTGTCCCTTGGTCGGTTAGTGTCATTTTGGTATATTGAGCTCTTGAAGGTCTGCTATAGGCATAAAGCACTAAGCCTCGGCAGAAAATATTGTTCCACAGCTCACGGGGTAATGTAAAGTGACTGTATCTGACTTTCTTCTTCTCATACACACAGATATCCACATGCATACGTACTCCAGTTATAACTAGAAATGGGAAAAAATGCTGCCAGAATTAATTAAAACAGTGTTGGCTCCACATTTACTTTTCTAAATTTTTTAATCTACCCACATCCACATGCATAAATACTCCAGTTACAGCAAGAAATTGGAAAAAATGCTGCCAGAATTAATTAAAATGATGTTGGCTCCATGTTTACTTTTATAAATTTTTTAATCATGTTCTGTTGTGCCTGAAAGCTACTTTAGTCACTAGTCTCTGGCTATTAGAAGATTTCTATTTACATTATTTACTAATTAACAAAAGAATATTAGTTTTAAGGATTGTGACTTAGGTATATTCCTTGTCTCCATCTCTGTGACTTCAACAAAGAACTGACTTTAAGGTAACCTCTAATCTTCTTCTCATTGTTAAAATGACAAAAATTCAGCTTTGGGCACATCTAACTCTCTTTCCCCCTGAAATGTCTCTGGAGACATTTGGAACAGTCCAGTAAAAGTCAAGTTAAAGTGTAATTGATATTAAAAGAGCTACAATGGTGCAAGTTTCTTTTAAATACCCTTGTTTTCATTTTACTACAGACCCTCAATCAGTGACACTTCTCTTTTCTACCAAAGAAAATAATCAATAAAAAGTAACTATTTTGTAAATTTATGCTGGATTATTTTTAATCCAGGTCCATTTCTCATTTCATGGCTGAACAAGCAGTTGTACTTGTTTAATTGAGGGGGTGATGGCAGGGGGACAGACAAGAGAGCAGGGAATGAAATCTGCTTACACCACTTGTGTTACGATTCAGTGGTCATTTCAGATCACTGAAATGATCTGAATAAAAAGCACCACTTAAAACTGCAGGGTGGGGAAAAAAGGAAGCAGGAATTGTGTTTAAATCAGCCTTGTTCAGGATGTGATTCATTGAGATGCAGGATTACAATTTTCTTCTTGCTGCTGAAGATGGGAAAGTCCTGGTTAGGCCACCACTCATCTCAGCTATACACAGGTGACGAATACTGTGTACGGGTTCTCATGCTCATGGGACCTCTCAATGAACTAATTTAATTAGTCCATTGGAAAATGTACTTAGTGGCATAACTAGGTAGGTTTCTGCTTGGTTAGTGAGTTAGTGAGGAAAGAGTTGTGAGTGCCAGAGCTGGAGCAAGGCAGAGGTGTGTGTTGCTGCTCTTCAGTAATTTGTCTTGGCTGCTGTAGTGAACAGATTGGATACAGCGCAGCTGGAATGGGGAGACTGCATAATCCAAATGCATGGCCTAATTCACACCAGTCTTCCTGTTGCCTTGGAAAAGCACAGGACACCACTGAAAAGCGAAGGAAGGGTGCAAGTTTTGGTTTTTTTTATAAAAAAGAAGTAAAAAAATGGTTAAAAGAAACAGAAGGAAACACATATATAGTCAGAGAAAGGGCAATAGAAACTAGAGTAAGTCGTGAAGCACAACACCAATGCTAATTCAGGGAAAGGTGGCATACAAATGCAAAGGCCAAAATTCAAAATCACCTCCGAAAAAGACACTAAGATAAAGGAGAGAGAAAGAAATTTTTAAAAGTCCATATCCATGTTTACCTTTCTTTTGCATTATTTGTATATGCCTTGATCCTGGGCTTTAGGTGTTAAAAATTTTAATAAATTGTTCCATTAATAAATGGAACCTTTAATAAATTTTTCCATTTAATAAATTATTAAATTTAATAAATTTAACCTGCTTGAATAAATTGTTCCAGATCTTGAGGACTGGAACTGCATTGCTTCCAATTGTTTTTAATGGGAAAGTAGGCTTTTTAAACAAATTTTACAGGAGGTATCAATTAATTTATTTTTTTTTCCCACTTGCGAGGCAATCATTCCTCAGTAGGTGATTTCATCAGGAAGACAGATCCTGGAAGCCCTTGAGAGCTCTCTGCTCCATGACAGGCTGCTCTTCCTTCCCCAAAAAGACTTCTCCCTGAACTGTAGCATGAACAAGATCTGAATTAAAACACTTAAAATGTGCAACAAAAGATGAAGTAGAAATTTTTGTTAAATCATCAATCAGGTTCATAGCTTGGCTTAGCATGCTGTTGTGCCATGCCTCTTTACTGGGAAAACAGCAGGCTGCATTATAGCTTATAACGCCAGGGAAGCTTTTGAGCCTCTTTGGGAAGAGCTAAGAAAAACACAGGAAAAAGATAATTATTTTTCTAAATCTATTTTTCTAAAAGGGAGTTTTATGTTGCAAGATGGATGAGGTTAGTGTTTGCAGATTGTTTGAACTTGACTCCAAAATAGATGAAATCAAAATATTT